ATCTTCCCCAAAGAATTAAAAGAATCATACCACAGCGATATATGTGTGCCCATGTTCATAGCAGCACAGTTTGTAATGGCTAAAACTTTGAAGCAGCCCAATTGCCCATCAACTGGAGACTGGATAAAGAAAATGTCGGGGTATTTTTTTAAAAAATGGAGTATTATTCAGCCATATAGAATGAGAAAGCAGAGACATTTATAGCTAAATGTGAGGCCATACTCTTAAGTGAAATAAATAGGACACAAAGGTGTAAATACCGAATAGTTTCTCTAGTGTGAGAAACTGAAAGTGTAAATAAGGACTAAAAGGTATAACAGATAATGTGAAATAGGAAGAAAAGGGCCAAAGGCGAAGGGGAAGTGGGAGGGGTAGGGGAAAGGAGAGAAGGAAATGGAATCAATATGAGAAAATGAAAAAATGGAAACAAAGTCTTTGTAAATAGGGAGGGATGGAGGGGTTGACGGGAGGGCAGGGGAAGGGAAAAAATAAGAACCAGGAGGGATTATGTAAAGGTGCAAATTTCCAATGATGAATGTCATTATATTGTATACCTAAAATGTACCAATAAAATTAACTTAAAAAAAGAGAGAAAGCAGGTACAGGAGAATGACAGGCGTTAAGGACAGGTGGTTAGGGTTCTGCCCCCGGCAAAGGAACTCCCCAGGCAGAAAGGAAAGCACCAGGCAAGCTGCAGCTCTCTACAGGCTCGGTTGGGTTTCCAGGCAATCAAAGACACTGCGGATTCGAAAGCTGGGCCCAGGTGGTTACTTTAAGCCCATGGGACTACTGTAAGAGGTGACCACTGGGGTCTGAAGTTCCCACTTCCGCTTACCCAGGGAAAAACCTGGACAGAGAGTCCACTCCGGCACCCGCTTCAGGCCCCTCCCAGCCGCTGGGAGCTTTCTGCCTTCTGACACTTCCACAAACTCCTTTTAACTTTCTCTCTGTCCAAGATTTCATGAGACAGCAGCCTGGCTGGGACAGTAACAGCAGTGACTAATGTCACAACACCAGCACACTCAGAGAAAAGGGCAGCGTTGTGAAGGTGACCTGAATGGTGTGGGTTCACGCGCTGTCGGGATGAACTGTGATCGGCATCGGAAGGGCTGAGGCCTGACAGACGCGATCGCTGGAAATCCACGTCTTCCCTCCTGTGCCTCCCCTTCCTCCCCAGCCTCCTGTCACCACATCCTCCTCTGAGCCCATGTCCTGGCGGGGGCCTCACCCAGTAGACGGGGGACCAGGTGCTGTCCCACTGTGTGGAAGCACACGAGCCACCGAGGGCAAGGCCAGGTCTGCACAGGGCTCTCTGCGTTGCGGAGACACCCGGAGTCCCGCTGGGCCCACGAAGAGGGGCCGGGCCAGACTAGAGGCGACCTTTCTCCTTTGCCTAGCTCAGGCTTTTCTGTGGCACAGTGCCAAGGCAGGTTTTATAAACGTGGGACAGATGATACCCATGCTCCAAACTAAGTTACCGTCAGAATCCAGGGAAATGGCTCAGGGAAGGTAAAATGAACTATGCTTCTGCGAAGAGCAGAGTTGGCCTAACTGATCTCACATCCGACCTGTGCAGTAAAGCAAGCAAAGGCCCGGGCAAAGCTCCCCTGCACCGTTTCAGCACCACCTTCCCTTCCATTTATCCATGCTGTTCCACAGTTCTGGGTGGGAGGCAGCTGCACGCACATTTGCTGGCATTCATTCAGACACCGAAGGCACCTTTCCCCCTCGACACTGGCACGCGTCTGTGTGCCTCCTGGGGAAGGGCCACAGTGTCCAGGCCGCCACACGCAAACCTGCACTCTTACTTTCTTCGGCGAGGTCGTTCTCCTCTGCTTCCCGCTCCATCTCCTTACACCAGGCCTCCATCCGCTCCGTCTCCGTGTGGAGCAGCTTCAGGAACCATGAGCCATCCCCGCGGCACGGGGACATCCTCCCGGTCTCCACGGGCTCCAGGGCGGACTCCAGCCAGGGCTCGGGGGCGGGCAGGCTGGCGGTGTCCGCCTGGGTCCGATAGTCCTCTCGGTAACTGAAGAGGCCCTGCGTCCTCACTGTCCTCACTGCCCCGTACTGGGTTGGCGTGCTGGGCTCCGAGTGCCGCTGGAAGGAGGAGCCGAACTGGAGCCCCTTGTCCTCCATAGTGATGTGGTCCGGGAAGCCCTCCAGCTCCAGGTCAGCCTGCACGGCGGCCGTGACGCTGTTGGAGCGCTTGAAACGCCCATGCCTGTGGGGAGCAAGCAGATGCTGCAGCCTTTCCCGAGGGACAGCACGGGACACAGCAAGCCCCTGCATGCCCCTCTGGAGCCCACTCCCTGCGCTGGCTCTCAGAGCTCCCATGAGCACCTACTCAGGGTGCCAGTGTGGTGGGTGACTCAGAAAGAGCCTAGGTTGGAGGCGCCCTCCTTCTAGGAACATCTTCGGCGTGCATGCCACCGCCCCGTGGCTTGGGGTACGACGTGTGCAGTGCGGCTTCTGCTGTGTAGGTAACTCCTACGGAGGACGTGACCTCCAGGTCCCACTGCCTGGCCTGAGTGTCCTCTCCTCCAAGATACCTGTCCCCATCAGCTCCCAGGAGGATGTAATGAGTCTGCACTCACACCTGGGGATTTCCTGTGACTGTATCGGAGTGTTCCCCATCTCAGTGTGGCTGCTACGGGAACGATGGGCCGACAAGCTCATGGTCAGAGACTGGCTGCGGCAGATAAGAACCTTGTGTGCCCCAGGGACGGCGTGTGTGCCTGTGTGTGTGTGTCTGTACACGTGGGTGCAGGCTGTGCGGTGTGGCTGGCATGTACACATACATCTGAAACCCGCTCACTACAGCTGTGCCCTTGGCTTGCGCTACGCAGAGGCGCGGCTGTGTGAGTGAGCAGTCGCTGACCAGGGGCCGCTGGCTACCTCTGCTGGGAGCCCGAGCACTGAGTGCTATGAGGGGGTCCAGGTTTACTGGGCCCCGAACGCCCTGTGAGCTGAGTCTCCTCTGGCTGGCTCCGAGCACCCTGGTCACAGGGACGTCACCCAGCATTGCGCTGCCAGCTGCAAACAGATGCTCGGGACACGGCGCTTATGTGCTTGACAGACTGCACTGCTTCAAACATGAGCCAGAATCATCATTCTGCGCTTGTTACCAGAACAGCCCCGTGCACAGTACCAGCCTCTGTGCCTCTCCGGGAGGCAGCGCTTAGGAAGCGAGACAGCCTCCTGGCGTGGCTGCGTCCTGCGCGGGTTTCATTCCTCCTCTCAGCGCGCCCGGGGAGAGCCCGCCTGTGCTGCACCCTCAGCCTTTCTCCCCTCTGGGCGCGGCCAGGCCGCGTTCACGGCGGTGAATTACTCTGCAAAGAACCGTGCCCGCGCCTCTCGCTGAAACAAGGCGCAGGCCCACGCCAGCCCATGCTTGGGTGCTCTACACGGGTGAGCTACAGGTGTGGCGCGTCTCCAGGAGGGCACGGGCACGGACGGCAGTGCCCCCCCCGCAGCTCTGGTGCCCCCAGCCCGGGAAGGGCTGCCCGGCTTACCGCTTCTCGTCTTCCACCTGCACCCCGACGGAGTGGTACTCTCGCAGGCCTCGGCTCTCCGTGTCAGAGTCTGTGGCCGTTTCCACCTGATTCAACACAGAACATCGCACTTTAGAGCCAAAACGTGGGACTTGGGCCAGGGACTAGGATTTTTTGTTGCTGTTCATTTGCTGTAATTAATTACACATTTGTTTAATTAATGGCAAAATGCACTTGACCCCGAACATCATGGAGAGAGGGAAATGAATTCCTATTGGTGTAAATTATGTTGCTACTCTGTTTCATCAAATTTTACATAACTACTTGAACTCAAGGCTGCACTTCAGCCTTTTAAATGTATGCAAATAAAACTGCTTAGTTCAGCTCAGGCAAAAAATAGGCTTTGTTGGACTGCATTATTAGAAGATTTAAAAACTCTCATCACAGTCTACAGTGAAGAAAGGAAGTACAGCATGAACCAAACATAGCTAACAACAACAAATATGCAATTTTAGAGAATTACACTGATGGCCGCACCCACATACAGAGACACAGGAAGGAAGTGAAGTGTCTGTCAGCCACACAGAGGCAAGGTTCCCTGTGCCGCTCAGCGGGCTTCTGCTGGGCACAGGGCTGACCAGACGGGAGCTGGGCACCCCAGAAAATGCTTGCTGCACCCCCAAGTCCTTGAGGTGTTTTAATGACCATCAGCTGTGTAAAGTTACCACATGAGTAATTCTAGCCCAGAAAACTTCATAAAGGAAACACAACAAACCCAACCCAAAGGTCCCAGGGTAACAGTCAGTGAAACCAAGGTTAACTGAGCCATAAAAGTCTTCCCTGGCTTCTGTCTCAAAATATTACCTTTTGTACCGAAAGGACTTCAGACTTCAAGCTGAAATGTCATAGCTAAGCTTTAAACATTTTTCTTAAGATGGGACCAGTTTCTGTAGCAGAAGGTGCAAGGCGTGAAGCAAATGGAGTTCCAGCCTGTGCCCTACAGCTGCCCACACCAGGCCTGACCCACCCAGGCCAGGAGAAGAATGAGGACTTCGGTGCAGTTCGTTCCACGAGTCATCTGTATCCGACCTGCCCACCACTTGCTGGAGACAGAGGTGAGTGACTTGCCCCGGGTGCTCAGCTCTCAAGGGCCAGGCCAGGGCTCCTGCTTGGGTCTCTCCGACCCAGAGCCCTGCCCTGTGCCTTCCTCTGTGGCCACCTGGCCTGCCATGCCTGGAGAAGATCAGGGCTTCCTCTCTTTCTGCTAGAGCCCTAAGGTCAGCCAAGAAGCTGGCCTGACAGCTGGCAGGAGTCGTGCATCGGCCACAGGAAAAGCATTCTCAGGAACAGCCACACCTCCCCACGAGGACTCCCCTTTCCTTCTCACTGTGCAGCACCATGACCATGCTGATCAGTGTGTCTGAAGTTCACGTCAGCACGTAGGCAGCATCTTGGTTTCTAACTGCATACCAGCCCAATAGGTTCATGACCACAACCTAATGTACTGAATCAGTCTTCAGTGGAGGGACATTTTGGTCACTTCCAGGTTTGTCATTAATAACAGTGCTGCTGTCAGTGTGTGTCTGCACTTGCATGTATGTGTGTACTTCTGTGAACATACTCATATGATATGTGGCTGCCGGCTCAAAGGTGAACACATCTTACAATGTGGGCTGATGATACCAGTTTTGATAGATATAGGACATGGGTGAAATCAGTTCATGTTTACTATAAAGAATGCTGCAGTGAAAGCATGCACATGCTTATAAACAATGTCAAGAGTACTTGTGGACCTAGGACTGCTGCCTGAGAAATGGTCCTAGGCCTGGGCACATGTGAGGACTTCAGGGCAGCAGTGTTTATAGGAGGAATTATGGGGACATGGGCTAGGGAGGCAGGAGAAGGTAACATCCAATGCAGTAGGATTTCCTCACCAATCCTCAAAGTCATTTACACGACAGCGAGCAGATTCAGAGCACAGAGATGCTTTGATGAGTGTGATCAAACAACACAGCTCAGTGGTGTTGTGAACAGCAGTGTCACAAGGTGCATGTGACACACAGAAGCACAGCAGTCACAGACACCTGTCCAACATCGGTGCAGGAAGAAACCAGCAAAACAGAACATTGTTTTCTTCCCTTTGTTAGTCTTCAAATTTTCTCTAATATAATTTTGTTATTTTTATAGTGAAAGAGAAAAATACAGCTGCTAGGGCTACTCAAGTCCTGCTGCAAGCTGGCCTACAACTGTCAGGAGAGCAGAATCTTTGCATCCTTGTCTGAACATGAGGGAGGAAGTGCCGAGCCCCACCCCACCCCCCCAGCCATGTGACGGATATAAGGCCGTCGGGCCGAGCCCAGTCAGGGCAGTCCGCCCACAGCAAACACGAATTCCTGGTCCTTTGGTTCAGGACACCAGGAGAATAGACACCTATTCAATTAAAACACACAAGTGACTTTTATCAATTTTCCAGCAGCTGTCACATGAAACCTTCCAAAGACAAACAGGGCTCTCTGGGCTTGTTGGCAAAGTCAGAGGCATAGCAAAGCTGAGGTGGTCAGAAGGAGGGCATGGGCACCAACTCCAGGAATGCTGCGCAGAGAGGCGCTCTGGGTAAGCCAGGTGCAGGAGAAAGAGTTCCATTCTGCACAGTGCAGAGGGACAGGGTCACACGTGCGAGGGAATGGAAATGCTCCGGAAGCTGTGTGTACATATTCACTTCCAGACCTTCCCTGTGGAGACAGCTCTGGAGATGAATCAGCACGGTCACTGCTGGCAAACTGGTTTGGAAGGAAGCCAACGTTGAAACTGAGGGGCTCCCTGGAGAGTAGGGAAGAAAGACCTGGACACAAGCAATCACACGGTGACTGCCAGGCACCCCGGAGGGACCCCAGGGGTCACTGTGCCCAGCTCTGGGCGAAGGTGGGTATTAGTTGAGCTGGGACCACGGGGAGGACACTGGCACCTGTGCTGTGTGTGAGAACAGGGGTCTAGTGCAGCTGGTCTGTGCATGTGGTCCTCTGCATGTGCGTGTGTGTGTGCACTCAGACTGGTGCTGATGGGATGACCTTAGGCGAGGCGGCCTCTTGTGCCCTCCTGTGCCCTCCTGTGCCCTGCTCCCACCCAGGCTGGCCTCGAGTCTGTGCTAGGGATGTGCAGCCAGCCCTGGCAGCTTTCTGTGGCTCCTGAGAGTGAATCTGGCCTGGTGGTGGGAGGGAGCGGTTCACAGGAGCCGCAGCCAGATCAGATCTGAAATCTTTGCTGTCACAGCTGGGCTGTCCAAGCCTCCTTCAGGGGCCATGTGCTTTTCATGCCAACATGTTCTGTTTCCCTTGGGGACCCACTGTCAGCCCAGAGTTCAGCGGGACTCACAGCCTCTGTCTAGGGGCAGCAGTGACAGTGGGTGGGGTGGAGGTGAGGACCAGTGTGCTCCACCTTGCAGGACGCTCAGCATGAGCATCATAGGGCTTCTGCAGCTGCCCCTTTGCCCCCAAGGCCTGGACAGACGTGTGGTGGCTCTCCCACTGCGGAGGTGCCTTGGGGTTTCTCCGTGTTGCACTCGGCCGCCTCTACCAACTGCAGCACCTGGTCAGATTCACATGCATGCTCAGAAGTGACTCCGCGGACTGGCAGGAACCAGCAGAAGGAGAGAGGGCCGGCCTGTGGACTCTGGGTCAGGGTACTGTCCACGGCACTCAGAAACATGTGAACCGGCCTTTTCTTGTCCTGCCGGGCTCCGTGCCCAGCTGCTCCCCTGGGGGTGTGCAGTGGCCTGCAGGTTCCCGAGTCTGGGCAGACACTGGTCCAGCCACTGGGGATGGAAACCTCCAGTGAGAGTCCCACCTAAGCCGGCCAGGGGAAGGATGGGCATAGGACGTAGGGGCCAAGGAAGGCCTCTCAGGCACCACGATGGACACAGCCCAGCAGGCTCAGCTCAGGCCTGAGCTCCAGTCACGGGGGCAGTGGTATGCGATGCCCTGGACCGTGAGGAGCTCTGCAAGCCAGGTGTCTCCGGGGCTGCTGGTCACAGAGGGCGTGCTCGGCAGCAAGGACAGTATGTGGGGTGCACACTGTGTGCACTGGAGCGAACTGTCCCCACGCTTTCCCAGAGCAGCGCCCGGGCCACAAGCAGCACACTGAACTGGATTCTGCCAGCCACCTTTCTCCGTGACCAGAGCAGGCGTCACAGAACCAGGGCAGCCTTCCTCTCCTCTCCACAAAGCAGGGCAGCATCAGAGCCAGAGGATGCCACCCCCCTGGGCTTCCACCAGGGCCCAGCACCCTGGGCTGTCACCCTCGGGCAAGTCACCGACCCTCCCTGGTCCTGTTTCCCCATCCAGGTCAGCAAACTAACGCTTGGCACCTGGGGTCCTTTCAGGTGCCAGTCCGGGAGTCATCTGTCGCTGAGCCCTGCTCTGTGCCTCTGTCCGTCTGCCCTGCAGTCTGTCACCCTCCTGCCTGCCTGTCCCAGTGTCCACGCACCGTTTCTCTGTCCTTTCCCCCCAGAGTTCCTCCTCTTGTCACATCACTCTTTCGCTTGACTGCTTCCTTTTTAGCTTTCCAACTGATCTCCTGTTGGACATGGCGAGCTCACAAAGTCACGGGCGCTGAACACTGCGCCCTCGCACTCACGCATGGTCCCCCCGCCCTCCCTCAACGACCGTCCACTCACGAATCCCACACTGACCAAGCACTCGCTATGTGCCAGGCACTGTGCTAGGTGCTTGGGAGCCAAGAGGCTCGGTTGGCTGAGCAAGGCTGGGCTGGTGATGGGTGGCCCGGGTGCAGGTGTGGCTCCCACTGCAGGCTGTCCCAGGACGACCTGGCCATGCTTTCTGCGGTCAGGCCCAGGACCTCGGGTGCGATCCGTGCCTGCATGCGCGGGAGGGGACACTCTCCCAGGGGGCAGCCTGGGACACGGGGACACTTGTGGGGTGGCAGAGTGGGCGGGTGTGAGTGCGCCACGCAGCCACCCAGTCATCAGGGGACCTCAGGCCTTTACTGCAGACAGCGACTGGAGTCAGCTTTCTGCAGGAGCTGGGCTGCAGGGTGCGGACGGCTGAGCCCCTTGTCCTCCCTCGGGTGGGGGCACTCTCGTCCTCGGGATGCCAGGGTCGGTGCCGTGGAGGGGCCCAGCACGGTGCCTGGCACATAGAGCCAGGACACAGAGTGACACGAGCAGTCGTATGAGACCCCAAGGAGGGAGGTAGAATGAGAGTCATGCGGACGTGGCTTGGAGGGGTTCGGTACTTACATCTGACCTTGGGTATGGCTGAAGGTCGGGGAATTCAGAATCCTAAACAAAACAATGAAGCCACAGTGTGGGGACCTGGCTCAGGGACTGAGGCCAGCGGGCCACTGCCCCTGTTGCTGGCTGCCCGTTCCCACCTCCTGGCCTGGTGCCAGAGCCACATGGCTCTCATCATACCGCACGAGCCCCTGTCCCAGGGTGCGTCGTGGGGCTATCAGACATCTGGTGTTTAAGGGCCGCAGGACACGGGCTGAACGCAGGACGAGGGAGCTGCTCCAGCCCCACTAAGCTGTGTCCATCAGAGGCTGAGGGGGTGCCACGGGGACACACCCACATGCTCCTGCCGACCGGGACAGCCTGTGCCCCGCGCCCTTCCAGCAGGCAGAGCTGTGCACTGGCACTGTCCCCGCGGGAGGGTGCACCGGGCCCCAGCTGGATGTGGTCTCCCCCAGAGCTATGGAGCCCTGGCCCAGGTGCTGCTGCCTGCCCCGAGTGGACGCCCTCACCTCTGACGAAGGACAGCTCCTTCCCGACGCTCTCTGGGGAACTTCCACGGGAGGCCACCCTCTGACCCATCAGTGGCCTCTCTGCACTGCCTAGTGGCTACAGACCTGGAAAACGCCCCAGAGAGGGCCCTGGGGGCTGGGTGCAGGCCTGGCTCCGGCTATGGCTGCTTGCTGGGTCCCGTGACTGAGGGCTGAGTCCTATCCCTGAGCTATGCTCTGCATGATGTGTGGCACCAGGCGCAGTGCGGGAGGATACCTGCACCCCGATGGAGATGGAGGCGCAGCGGCTCTTGAGCAGCTCCTCGGCCTTGGACGTCAGGATGGCCTTGTCGCCGGGCCGCATGGAGCCGCCCTGGCTGTCCGCGTGGCGCTGGGCTGCAGCCGTCTCCAGGGCCAGGTTCATGGCCTTGTTGCTGTCCAGGCTGTCCGTGGAGTTGTAGAGGCTGCGGCCATCCTGTGGCCACGGGGACATCCTCTGAGCGCGGCTGTCCTGGTAGGCATCCTGGGTGGACTCCGTGCTGCTCTGGGCTGTCACGGAGATGAGGGGCTTTGAGGTGGTCCGAGGGGGCACTGGCGGGGGTGTCTTCTTGTAGTTGGGGTAGGAGACAGCTGTAAGAGACAGAGCCCATCAGGGTGGCCTCGCTGTGCCTCTGGTCTACACCTGCCCTTGCTCCACCCAGCGCCCAGCCAGCGAGCCCATCCCACCGCAGAAAACAACCAGGCCTCAGCCAGCGTGTCTCCCAGGGGTGTCGACGTGGGTGCAGCTAGCAGTGAGAAGTTACAAAACACCTCACACTCCAGCAGCAGAGACACAGAAGCACCTCGTGGCCCGGGCAGGAAAGAAGGCCCGTGTCCGACTTCATGCAGCTCACAGGATCATCAAAATGCTCACTTTTGAAACAATGAGTAAAAGAAGGGGGCAGGATCCTAAGCCACAGAGACAGAGGGTGGCAGATGCAGAGAAACCCGTGTAAGAGAAGACAGTCCCCCCAGACATTAACCATGCTGCTGTTCAGCGACAATGGCGCCATTGTTTTCCCTGGCTTGCGTGCATTTTCTAAAAATCTTGGTAATGAACAGCTACCATTTTTACAACAGAGAATCAGAAAGGTGTCTACTCCCTGTGAGTCTGGCCTACCTGGCACAGGCTCAGGGTTCACCAAGAAGAGGTGCGGGTGCACGAGCTCGTCCCGGACTGAGGCTGCTGTCCTTGCTGTCACCTGCTGTCCCCAGCACCTCCCGCCTCCCCTCCAGCCCCAGAGTAAGCGCTGCCCCACTGGCTGCAGCCCACCTGTCAGACATCGGGAAGCACACAGGCATGAAGCTGTGTTGGCCTCAGTGGCGTCTGCGGGGCCTGGAGTGAGGCATGGAGCTGCGTGCCCCGTTTGAGCTGGCACAGCAGGCAGCTTCTCTTTGCCTTCGAGGAAGAGTGCTGAAGTCCCTGTGGGAGCCTGCAGGCCCCTTCCCTGGCTGCAGCCCCACTGCTGCAGCAGGCGCAAGGCGCCCTGGTCGGGGTCTAGGCGGTGTGGGTTTGTCCACACCGGCTTCTCTGTGCGGGAATGGCGTCTCTCTCGCTGCGAGTCAGGGTGCTGCCGGCTGCTCTTACTTATCCTAAGAAAAAGCGCTGCTCACCATGCCCTGACCTCTGTGAAGTCGGAGACATGGATGTGCTCTGCCCGCCCAGGCCACGGGACACTCGGGGGTTGGTGTGGCCATGACATGCGCTAGGGTGAGGGTGACGCGTGTTGGGGCAGCGGTGATCCACACACGGGCACGCTCAGGAGCACATTGGCACCTCCTGAGGACAGACTGAGCAACAAGGTGCTTCCAGGGCTTGGGAAGCTGCTTGGAGCAGTGGCCTTCGGCGCGTGGATTCAGTGTCCGGGTGCCCTGCGGGGGTCCGCGCACCTTCCCGCTCCCACCCCGGCTCCAGGGCCTGTGTGACTGCACCTGCCTAATCAGGACGATGTCAGACGTCACCCGACACACAGACAAAGGAAGCGCAGTGGCCTGTCATGCCAGCCCGTGTGTGCTTTCCGGCATAACCACGGTAGCCATGCTCAGGAAGGGGCAGGAGTTAAAGAATGCAGGAGAGGCCCGTGGGTTTAGCTCGGTGGTTCTGGCGCCTGCCTCGCAAGCTTAAGGTCCCCAGTTCGATGGCCAGTGCCAAAAAAAAAAAAAAGCGCCGGAGAGAGAGCCAGGACGGAGACAGACACAGGAGCGCTGAGCGGCGTCAGCAAACGGAGGGCCCGGGGAGCGTCAGACGCTCCGGCCCTCCTTTCTGTCCTGTAAGACGTGTCTCGAATGTGAACTGCCTGTCAAGGGACATGGCCAAAAGCTGACAACACCCAGGACTGCTCACAGAGCTGAGTTCCCGGGATCTTTCCCCGGACTCAGGTCAGCTGCGCTGTGCTCCGCTCCCCATCGGCCCAGCCTCCTTCACTCAGAGCCCACTCCAGGTGCGGCGCCCTCTGTGGTGCCTCCTGGGGTGACACCCTCAGGCTGCTGGTGGCTTCTGCTGGGTGCCCCGCCCACCCACCCGGGGGACTGCATGGTCTGCACGGGGCCTGGGTCTGCCACCCCAGCCCTGTCGCTCTCCCGGAGGCTTCGGCTGTGCCTTTGCAGCCCCGTCCTCTGACGGCCCTCCTCTGCCTGTGCGGTCAGCCCCACTCTGACTCTGGGGTCTGTGGCCCCAGCTGCCGCCCCGGCCCTCTCTCCTCTAGCGAGCCCTCTTTGCTGGACCCTGCGCAGCGGGCTGTGTAGCGTGCTGGCGTGGCCACTCTTCCTGGAGACCCCGAAACCTGGAGCTGTGGCCGAGGTCACTCAGCAGGAAGCTGCAGGATCCCGGACTCGGCCTCAGGGCTGCGAGGTCCACCTGGCTCACAGCCGCAGAGAGGCGAGCGAAGCTGCTTCTCTGGTGACCTTCGGATATGGAAATCATCTGTAAGCCGATTTGTGTGTCCCAACAGTGAAGATAAAGGGAAACAATCGGAGCCACTTCACAGTCTATTTGAGACACGTGTGTGGGAATGAGGACGAAATGCTGAGGGTTCTGGGGTGTGCACAACGCCCGGGTGAGCCAGGTTGTCTGGGCTGCAGGACAACGCTGCCTCCTTTGGGTCTCAGCTTCGGCAGCATGGGAATTTCTGCACACTCCTGTGGGCCCATGGCGGTCTGTCTGTCCACTGAGAAGTTTGCCTCCCCTGACACTTCCTCTACGGCGCTTCCTGTCACTCGGTCCCTCCCTAGGTCTCCTCAAACCTCCCGGAAGGAGTATCTCACTAAACAGGAAACACTGGAGGCCAGGCTACGAGGCTGTCTGAGTCCCAGGACGACCAGTGTCACACTTCTTGCTTCTCCTGTGCTCGCTCAGGCTGCACTCAGTAACTAGTTAGTGGGAGCTGCTCCCATTTCCTTCTGGGGAGCTGGGAGGTGGGGTGGCACCTTTCCCTGCCTGGCAGGAAGCGTTGGCACTGTGTCCGAGCCTGTGTCACTGCGCAGCGGGCTGGTCTCCCAGCCAGGGACCTGGACGGAGGCTGGACGTGCATGGGGGCAGTGGAGAGGGGTGCAGCAGGGTCCTGCTGGAGCCGGGAGACGCCCCAGATGGCCCTGGCTACAGTTCCAGAGAGTTGCCGTCTTCGCTATGGTGCTCAGCAAAGCTCTGCTGTGGAAACCATCGCTTGCTTCAGTCACCTAGTGGCAGCTGCTGCTCCTGGCACCAGGCCTTAGCCCCCAGAGGCCAGGGTGCAGACCTGGGTGTTCTCCACGCTGCACCCCAACGCCAGCTGCCTCGGACGTCATGTGGGCTGTAATGTACGGAGCTCCACTTTCCCGAAACGCATTTCTACAGCTAAGATCCTGGTGCCAAAGGGCTCACAGTCACTGTGGAGAGACCGGCTGGGAGAGGCCATGTGGACCACTCGGCGGTGCAGGGGGGGAGCCCAAGCGTGGAGAGGCCCGGAGGACACTGTCGGGGGAGAGTGACATCTACACGTTGAGGGTGGGAAGGATGAGCGGGCAGCACAGGGAGGAGGTCGGTCCACGGGGCTGGCTTTGCCCCCCCGGGCCAGTGCAGGTACCTGCAAGCCCGCTTTCTGGTCTGCAGAGGCTCTGGCTGCGATCTGGTTTCTCTCTGGCTCTCAGGGGAGGGTGAATGACAGGTGCATTGGTCTCAGGGTGCAGCTGGCCACCTCTCTTTATATGTCATGGAGTTTTCTGCAAGATATTTCTTTTTGTGGGAAGTATCAAATGACCTCAAACTTTCTCTTTTACTTTTTTTCTTCTCTCCTCCTAAATGGAAGTGTTTTAACAATTGGACTCTTGCCTCGATGCATTTTAATGTGCTGTATTATTCCGATATCTCCAGGGGATTAATGTAATTGTTCACTTGGAGTCTGTCCCATATGGCTCAATATTTTAGACTCACTGCAGCGGGTGACAGGGACAGAATCTCAGGACTGCAGACCTGCCAGGACCGTCAGACCAAACCTATACATCACAAAGGATGCTTGTAGATCCTCCAGTGCAGCCTCCAGAAGGTACACAGGCACACTTCCTTTGGCTCCTCAGGGCTCAACAAAACCTCCTGGATCAGAGGTACAGAGGTACAGACACGCTTGAGACCTGGGTCTGTGCTTGTCTGTGTCTGGCATCCAGGGCGGCCACGATGGCCACTATGACAGAGGCTGTGAAGCCTTGGTGTCTTGCATCTGCACTGAGCAGGAAGAACAGGCAGTGGTTGTTGCCAAGGAGGAGCCTGCTGCGTTTCCCTGCAGTCTCAGGGGACGGAGCCCTTTGAGCATCTCACTCACTTCCCGGTCCCCCCGGAGACCCGCAGGGCATGCCAGCACTGTGAGGGCACACTGCACACTAGGCGGCTCCCAGCTGTGGACACCTGTGACACAGTGCTTTTGCATTTCCGTCTTGAGGATGAGAAATTGGAGATTTAAACAGGTTACACCACTGTTCTGACATGTGCCTTGGGTATGTGGTACAACCGGGAAACAATGCAGCTGTGTTTTGCAATCCAGTTTCTGAGTTTGCCTTTCGCTTCTCAGTTGTGAAAGTTGCCCTGAGCATGATGGGTGGGGTGACCGGTCTCCACAAAGTGCCTTCCCTCGGTGCACAAGTGGTCACCGCCACGGCTGTGCCCCCAAGGAAACACTAGCTGTACTGCTCCAGTGAAGAAAGCGTGCATGTGATAAACGCTAGAAAAGTTTCCATAGAAACCTCACGAGGGTGAGAATTCTATGGTCTCCAGGGCACAGTGGGGTTGAGCTCATATCCTGCAGAGACTGAAGAACTTCCTCAGAGCTCTGGCATCAGAAGGCCTAGGAAGGTGGCAGGGCCACCAAGTGGGGGGCAGCAGGGTTGGCAAAGAAGGCACACGAAGGAGGGAGGCCAGAAAATGCACGTCGGTTACCTTCTAGCCTGCTGTGCTCCACAGAAGAGCCAAGACTTAAATTCCAGTGATCCAGACTTCTAAAATGCCCAAAGCCTCGAGTCAGCTAATCAGCCCCCTGCCTCGATGGCTGTCTCAGCTACTCAGCTACTCAGCTGCCACGCGAGGCGGGAGGCCCTGACCTGAGCCTGGCCCCAGTGTGTTGGGC